CTCTATATCTTATTTGAAACATTGTCTTTGACTTTGTTGCTTGAAATCTATGAAAATCTAAGAATATCTTTATTTTTCATAATAATAGTCTTAATGACCATGACCTGTTAAGTAAAATCTGTTTTTATTTTTTAAAAATTGATTTTCTGTGTATAATTTTTTTTCTAACCCTATCTATCTTGTACTTGAAAGTTTTTTCTAGCAAACAATTTTTCTAGAAAAATAGATTTAACTGCCAGCTTCTTTTCTATTTTTCATTTCTAAAAGAATTCTATTTTATGATTTTAAGAGATCTATTTTAATTTAATTTTGTATTTATTTTTTATGACTTTTTAATTTAAAAATTCTATTTTAAAGTTGTTCCTTTTTAATTTAATAAAAATATTTACTATTAAGTAAAACATTTAGTTTTTAAAAAGTTACTAAATTAATAATAATATATATAATATATTTTTAATTTAAAAAATTATTTTAATTTAATAATACGTGGGGGTGATCCCTAAACAGATTTAAATATCTATTTTTGAAATTTGAATTGATCGGAAAAGGTATGGATCGGTTATATACTTATATGGAAAAGAAAGGCGAGGATCTTGGGAATTACATGCAGGGTATTTCATGTTGTGGACAAGACACAAATCATTGCAATTTTCGAGAATTTGATAAAGTGCTACGTATGAACAACAACATCGCATGCAACTATACACACAAAATGTATAGTATTGAAATTCTCTTTTTTTCAAGCCAGTATTTAAAGGTTAATTCTAATTTATCTTTTTTAAAAAATATCAAAATGTATCTCATCTTAGTATTTAGTGACTCATAAATGTAAGATCTCTAAACTTAAATATTAAGGGTGTGTGTTAAAATGTCCTATATCAATCAAAAGTAATACTAAAATATTTTTAAAAAAAATTAAGTGATGTTTCCTTTTTAGCCAATTTTTTACAATGAATTAGGATCAATCCATCTCTAATAAATTTAATGTAAATTTTCAAGTTTATGTTTTCAATAGAGAATTAAATATCAACTCTTTTAGTAGTTCTATAGAAATGGCAATGGTACTGTATTAGGCATATCATAGTAGAAAGAAAGACTATTATTGAGTTCATAAAATAGGATTACTCAAACTAATTGAAAGTTCAAGTTTTAGTAGAAAGTTGGCTTAAAGTTTTGGATTCATTGGGAGGCACACCTTCCCTGTTGAATGGTTGTTCAGTGCTAATTTGTTGGTGGAGAGAGAGCCAACTAGGCAAGTACCATTGTTCTATTTCGAATTTTTATTATCTATAAATGATAATAAAAGGTGTAGGTTAGTAAATTAAACTCCTTTTTACTTGAATTAATGAGCGTTGGTAAAATCTTTTACTATTTTAGTAAGATAAGTAAAATCACTCGTTAGTAATTTTCTTTTATATTAAAACAAACTTAATATTAATGCATTGTTAATATGAATATATTTTACATTTGTTACTAACAAAAGGTGTATAGTGCGAGGTCTTTTAATATTTCTTTTTTTTTAAACGATAATAAAGTCCATTTGTTTAATTTTTATTAAGACGTAATATTTTATTAATTTTAATTTTAAAAAATATATACTAAAAAAATAAATTGTTGACACTTTTAATAAATAATATATGTATTATAGGTAAATAATTTTTATGATTGTATTTTGGTGATTTTATTTTATTCTAAAATATATAATACATGTTTTTTATAAGAAATAAATAAAAATTTATTAAAACACATAAAAAATAATATATATCATAAATTTATAGTGTATTCTAAAATGTTTATAGTAAAAAATAATTAAGTTGATGGCTCATACATTAAATAGATAAATATATTTATTTATATGAGTAATAAGTGAATATCTTTCATTAAACAATTTATAATAAATAAAAGTATAAATAAATTTTAATAATTAATATATTTAAAATATGTATTTACTTTTTTACAAAATTGAATGAACTGCTAAGTTGTCTATCTATATATATTTATAAAAAAATAAATAATACAATAAATAAAATAGTTACTAATTGAAAAACACGTTATAATAAAACTTTTAAAAAATATTTATTTATTAATATTATTAATTTAGTAATTCAGAATGTCTTTTATATTACTTTACAAGTAAAGAATATGGATAAGTAATTATATTATTTAAAATCTCAAGTAAAGACTATACTAGTCTTATTAATTTTTTACTCACGCTATTCGAGGTTGTTGAATTTTTATTTATTTATAATAATAAATACAATATAATCAATGGAAAAATGTAAATTTTTAAGATTTATTTATTATATAATTATAATATAAAATATAGTGTACATAAATGTTTTCTTCTAATAAAAATTTTCAGTGCTTTGATTCGTTATTACTATGTTGGCTTTGAAAAAAGTTCTAAAGGTACAAGTGTCACTTTTACAATAGAACATATCATATTTAACTTAATATTATATTTCGACTGTAAAAGTTCTAATTAATAAAACTTATACTTGTAATTCAATTATTTTATCATTAAAATTTAACATTTATAATTATACGTTCATTATTTTATTATTGAAAATAATAATGTCTAGAATATTATATTAATTTAATATTTTAAAATGTTAAATCAATTAAGGTAAGATAAATATAAAATTTAATATCATAGATGGTGTTACCTTTTAGATATGATAATACACATTAACATGAATATATAATTAGTTCCATTATTTATTTATTATATTAAATAAAATAAAATAAAAAGTATATACTTTTACTTAAATGTCCGTACAACAAAATTCTGCAAACCCAACTACTTTTATATAAACTAGTATCATACCCCCAATAATATATAATTAAATTACAAAGTTTAATGATAAAAAAAAATTGATTATATAAGAATTTTACAGTGGTAGAAAGAGATGTATATAATATTAGTTAGCAATTAAACAGCTAATCTTTAAAATATATTTATCATATTTAATCTTAAAAATGTTATCAAATTGTTGAAAACTAATTAGTGCATATTTCACTTTTGTTTAGCATAATCACGTTCTGAAAATGATAGAAATATTATTTAGGATAATCTCCGATCAAAAGGCAATCTCATTAATTTTAATGAAGATTTTGACGACCATGCAGTTAGTCTTTTAGAAATATCATGATCATGATGAAATGCTTCTATTGTTTAATAATTAATTCAAGTCTAAAACACATATTAATAATCCATCACACAAACTGCATTGGCACAATTCAAGATGCTAAAAGAAGTCATTATTTTTTGAATCTTCAATAATAATATATATGGAAATACACACTAATTTCATCAAATACTAAAATCAAAGTTCAAATTTAAAATACGACATAACAAATAAAAAATATATGAAAGTTGAAAAAAATTGTCCAAATTATTGAAATAATTATTTTATGCATATAATAAAATTACAAATAAAGTATGAAATTGTATAGCACATTTACATTTACATTAATTGAATTAAATTAAAATACTATTTTAACTTTGTGAGACAAATGAATTATAATAAAATTATTTTAAGAAATAATATACGATTAAGTATTTTACATAGTACAAAAGTCATTAAAATTTATTAATTTTTAAAATTTTTAAAAATGTTTGTTATGGAGTTCATCATAAAATCCAAAATTTTGGATAAAACATTGAATTTGATGATTTTAGATAAAAATTGAAAGAGAGATTAATTTGTTTGATTTTTAAAACAGACAAATTTGATAGGCTAAAAAAATTAACAATATGTTAGCTTCAATATTTACTTTTTTTATTTTTGGAAATTTTGAGAAAATTATAAAATATTCTCATATTTATTTGTCTTAAAAAAATATTAGTCAAAAATTTCTTTATAAACACACATTTAATTTAAATATGAAAATGGTTCTTGTACATGTTTTTTCTTATTCTTTTGATTTTTTATTTTAATTTATATATTTCTCATGATTTTCTTAACTTGTCTTATTAACATGATTTATTGAAAAAACCGCCCCATATATTAAATTTTTATTAATTGCATGGATCTAAGGTTTCGGTGTTGGGGCAGTTGCCATAATAACATTTTAAATTTTTTATAGTATATAATTATGTGTATAAAAGTGTTCCATAATCTTAGTTTAATTTTTAAATTGCCTCAACCTTGACTTCAAAAGTCTTCTTATGTGAACATAGTCCTTGCATTTTTTTTTTATATTTTGATTTTTTACTATTTATTTATCCACTATATTTAATTAGCTTGTCACAAAAGTTTTTTTTTTTTTACTTAAAATTTTTAATACGTATATTATACTGTCATGTTGTTATCATTTTTTTCGATTCAATAATTTGTTTTTGATAAATTGAATTCTTTTATTACAATTTTTTTACTTAATATTTGTGTTTTGTTTCTATAATTGTATATATGATGCAGCTTTTCTTCACAATTTTTAATATATTAATAGTATAATTTTTTTCTCATTAATTTTTAGTGCTTTAATTTAAAAATAAAAAGAATTATAACTTTTTAATAATATTAAAAGTAAAAAAAAAAAATATGCATATTTAAGTATAAACATTTTATTTAACACACTACTCTAGTCCGTAGAGGAAGGTGAGATTAATTCATTTCCGTAACAATGGTTGATATGTTGTAAATTAGACAGTAAGCAATGGTGATGGGTAATGAAAAATTATTTATTTTTTAAAATTCTTGTTATCTTATCAATAAATATTCTTAAAAATTATTTTTAAATTATGTAAAATACCAAAAATAAACATTCTAAAAAAAATAACATTTCCAAAAATCTTATTCCGAATCCCAAGCCATAAAAAAAACCACTCTCTAAAACAAACACGAGTACAGAACCAGTAAGACCAAAAAGTCACGTTAAGCGACGAACAGGGGAATTAATCATCCGTTTAAACCCTCACTCCGAATCCAAACCGCTAGATTAGCCTCTCTCAAGCACACACATATCCGTGCAAATACAAAATCAAATCAAAGCAAATTTTATAAAAATAAATAAATGATTTCATTAGTGGCACTTTCATAAGCGTTTCCACACTCTACACTCTACTTTCTTTCTTTTTCATTCATTTCACTTATTCTCTCTGTTCCTTTCTAGAAAGAACACACACAACACAGAACAGCAACAATGGCGGGTTACAGAGCAGATGATGACTACGACTACCTCTTCAAGGTGGTTCTGATTGGAGACTCTGGTGTTGGCAAGTCTAACCTTCTCTCTCGCTTCACCAAGAACGAGTTCAACCTTGAGTCTAAGTCCACCATTGGCGTTGAGTTCGCCACTCGCACCCTTAATGTTGATTCCAAAGTCATCAAGGCTCAGATCTGGGACACCGCAGGCCAAGAGAGGTTACCCTTTTCTTCACTTTCTTCATTCCGCTGCTTACAATGCAAGATCCGTGTTAACTCGCTAATGGGTATCTTCGTTTTCAGTTAAAAATTTTTCCTTTTCTTTTTATTAAATTAAAAATGTGATTTTGAAGGGTTTTTTTTTTTTCAGTTGGGTGGATCTGATTCTGCTCTTACTTCACTTCGGTTTTGTTGGGTTGGTGTTGTGTTTTTTGTTTTTTTCATCTTGTAATTGGGTGGATCGTGATCTCATGAAGGGTTTCCAATTCGAGTAAGTTGTTAGTGGTGAAAAAAGTTAGTGAATTTTGTGTTTTTGGAATTAGGTTTAGTCAACAGAGTCAGTGTTGTTACTTCTGCTTGATTCGGTTTGTGGACTCGAAGGTAGAGAGGGTTTGATTTTTTGAGATCAGAAGTGGAATTGGGACTGTGTCAATGATTCGGCCTAAGTGTTCTTGACTTGTGTCTTGAAGATGACCAATGTCGTTGATGTGAAATTGATTTTACGGTTGCATCTAATGATGGATGTTAATCAGTAGTATAGTATGTTGATAATATAATATTGATCTTCTTGTCTTTAATTTAAACTATTTGGACTCTACTTGTTTGTCTATGGATGGAATGGTGGTTGTTCCCGTCGTGCTTAGTTTTATATTTTCTATTAGTTTGTTCAAATTTTAATATTGTTTTCTTCACGAGCTGGCCTTGGAATTATTGTGCAAATCTATGGGTAAGCCTGATGTTGAACTTTAGCTTTTGCGTTTCTGCCTTATAGCTTGGGAGATTTTGATTGTGCTTATGTGTGGATTGTGTGGTTTTGATTATCTGTGATCTCAGCTGAAATGTGGCATATAATATGTTAAGCAATTTGGACTGGTGGTTGCAAAATACGGCCAAGCTAATATTGATTAAGCATATGCCAATATAAATTGATTATGTACTTTTCATTTGATGTATGTCATGTAAAAGATCCTTTGTAAAGGTAAGTTTTGACTTTTTCTTGCGCTACCTACTGGAGTAATTAATCATCTTGTTGACATCATTGTATTATACGGAAACTATGGTGCAGTTGATGCAACTTGTAGAATGAAACAATTTCCATTTTATACTCAAGGAAAAATGTGGTCTGGTAAGCAGTAATGTAGTATAATGGGGCCCACCCCCCTCCATCCAAAAATGAAAGGGAGAAAGAAAATTATACCTTCTCTTTTACGTGCGGGCCGTAATTATATAGTTGTAAGCTAATAGGTTGAATTGCTAACACCTCGATGATGTTTCAATCACTCATATTCATACTTCCTATTTCCTTTACATACTTGTTCAGTTTCAACAATGCAACCACATTGTTATAAAATAGTTAGATTATAGTCACAATATTTTGGCCCATGGTTCTGTTTACCATCAACTATTACCTTCAAGAGTTCAATAAACCATAGGTTTTTCTTCGTCAAATCTTTCCTTGGAAAAGTTCTTCTTTTCTCCTCTTCCTTCCAAACAAAACCCTTCTAGCACCACCCCTTCTGCTAAGTACAAAGTACTGTTGAAATTTTGCTGCAGACATCATTCGAGAGCTTGTAATTGACTAAAAATTTCTCCATTGGAAACTTGATAGTTGCATCTAAAAGATTGTGAAAATGGCATAGTTGTGTGCAACCATGGATGCATGACAGAGCCAACAGCCCTGTATTTTGGACAAAGTCATTTGGTTGATGTTATTCTTTCCAATGACTTTGTTAAATCCCAATAATTTCCTGCCTTATTTTTATTTCAGTTTCTACTGCTATTATAAGTCCTAATTATGAGGTGAGATACTTTTTTGAAATATGATATACAAATTATTGGTAGTGGAAGTTTTAGGTATGAACTTTTCAGTTTCCTTGACATGCTCCATTGACTTCATATTGACGACTCCTAATCTTTGTTTAAATGAATTGTCAAATATTTTATTATCCTACTTACAAATGTTGGGTATGAAATTTCAGTCTTATTCAAGTTCTGTTGCCAATGTCACAACGATATCCTGTTCTTGATTCCTTTCCTTTTGCCTTGTGACCACTTTAATGAACTCAATCTTGTCTAGTTTAACACCCCATTATTGAGAATTGACTTCCCTCCGAATTGCATGTTATTGATTCACATTGTTTCTCTTTGTAGGTATCGTGCCATCACCAGTGCATACTATCGCGGGGCAGTTGGTGCACTTCTAGTGTATGATGTCACTCGCCATGCAACGTTTGAGAATGTTGACAGATGGCTGAAAGAGTTGCGAAACCACACAGACGCCAACATTGTTGTGATGCTGGTTGGGAACAAATCAGACCTTCGTCACCTTGTAGCCGTGTCAACTGAAGACGGGAAGTCTTATGCCGAGAAAGAGTCACTTTACTTCATGGAAACCTCAGCTCTGGAGGCTACGAATGTAGAGAACGCATTTGCTGAAGTTCTGACTCAAATCTACCGCATCGTGAGCAAGAAAGCCGTAGAGGGTGCTGAAAATGGAACTGCATCTGTGCCTGCAAAAGGAGAGAAAATAGATCTTAAAAATGATGTGTCTGCTTTGAAGAGAGTTGGTTGCTGCTCAAGCTGAGGTTGGAAAACTTAGTTGAATTGGTTGCTGTCGGCTCTGATGTACGTGTAATATTCTGAGAAATACGAACTAGAAGAAAAATGAAATTTGATTTTTCATAGCATGTTAGACTCTTTGTGTAACCTTAAAAAACTATGTTTGGTGTTTCAATAGGAGCTGCTGGTGAAGCATGATGATTGCTACACGGCTTAGTCTTACATGTTGTAGTAGTGTTGTTATTACTATTGTTTTTTAAATGATTTCACTTGCAAAGAGGTTCAAGCTTGGAATTAATTGAATCTATTGTTTCATTGAACTCTTTGTGTAGTGTTGTGTGTGTGGTGGACATGGTTCAATTGTTCACACTTTCGGATAGAATCAGCTGAATTACGTAAGTAATTGGAACAAGTTTATAAGGGAAAAAATTATTCTTAATTAACTTAGAATTGTTTTGGCATTTATGACCTGTTGTTGCATCCTTTTCATTCTGCAAAGAAAACTAAAGTGTTTCTTAATCAAAGGCATGTCTGAAAAATTTTACAATTGCTAAGCAAGTTTTGTCAAAAAAGAATAATTTTATTAAAAATCTGTTTTAATTTTTTTCTTAAAAGTTAATAAAATAACAAGTTAGTTTCTTGAAATGTTTTGGCATATATTGCTGTTTTTTTAAATGAAAAAAAATTATTTCTTTTTTTTTAAAAAAATGAAAAATAAAAAAAGGTTGTTATTTTTCTCTTTTGGTCAACAGGATGTTAAGAAAATTGTGAAAACAAACAAACATAAACAATCACAATGTTTTAGACCCAAAAAAAAAAAACAAAGAGTTGGACTTACGTATAAAAAGACAAAATAATTCCGTTGCCGGGACTCGAACCCGGGTCTTTCGGGTGAGAGCCGAATATCCTAACCATCTAGACTACAACGGAATGATGACATTTTATCAATTTAGTTTATAATATCAAAATTAAGTTTTGTACAGAATGGGAAAATTTATGGCGGCGAGGGATAACCCAACGCAGAACTCCAATGTTTGCCTTCTCAAATGCTTTTTTTTTTTCTTATTTATTAAATATATGTTTTAAGTGGCAGGTTCAAAAAATATACTTTACACTCATTTTCTAATACTATATATGCAGAATACAAGAATATTATAAACATTTTTGAACACATTCTTTCTGACATACTTTTAATTATTACTTATCATTTATTAAAAGTGTATTCAAAATAATATGTTGAAAAAGTGTGTTACTCCCTCAAGAAGTAGAAGTATTAATTGGCACTAGTAGGAAGAGTTAATAGAATGCGTTTGGAGGTAGAATAGGTCCTTTGGTTTTGTTAAAATTGCAAATCTGCTATAAGAGCACCTAATCCTTCATCCTGTCAGGTATGTACTAATATTCTTCATTAATAGTAATTATTGTAGAAATAGGATATTATGTTTTTAATGGTTAAACAAATCCATAGCCTCTAAAGATTGCTTCTATATATAATCATTTCTAGCTTTATGAAAATATTCATTTATAGCCAAGCTTTATTTGATTTAATAAATTTTGTAAGTCGATAAAAGGCATAACATGCCAAATAAAAGTAGCATTCAACTGTAGAATACATCATTAATGAGTTAAACATTCTTCATGCACCTCTTTTTGTCAAGGGCTTATAGCCTCTCGCTCCAAATAGACTACAGGGTTAAAACTCTTTTTACCTGCCTTAATTTCTGTTAAGTGGGATTGTTTATTTATGATCTTTTACATATATATGTAAAATATGGAACATTATTTTATGATTTGCAATAGTACTCTTCACTCAAGGCTTTACTTATATGCAATTGCTTCTAGATTTATAGAGACTATACAAAAGATTAAAATAAGTTATAAAAACTAAAAGTAAATTTTGATAGTTTTATTTAAATTAAAAATATTTTTTATTTTCTATACAATATAATGATGTGAAATTCTGTTAGCATATCAGTAATCACTGGAAACTCAGTACAAATAAAAATTAATTATAATTGTTTTACATCATTTAGAGACTAAAATAAATTTTTATAATTTTATAGAAACTAAAACATATTTAACCATTTTTTTGTGTGTAAAACTTAACTCATATTCGTTCACTTATATGAATTATGAATTAGTATGGAATTATTTGGCTTTAGTTTTTTCTTCATTTATTGGCTTTAGTCTGTTCCAACCATTTCATATCTTTTGTAAAATATTTTTAATTATTTAAGAAAAGTATTTTCTTTTATAATAGTTAGACTTAGATACTAAATACTTGAACTTTTATTTAGTAATTTTATTTTATTAATTAGTGTCATAAAGATACTCAAATAATAATAAAAATTATGAAATAAAATGTATCCACCGAAATAAGAGATGGATTCCAACTAGTAATTAAATACTGCATTGTGCAAAAGCTTCAAATGCTTCCATTTAACAATGTCATAGATTTTGCTGCCCCATGAGATAACTCGGTGTGATTAAATCTCTCGGATCAAGCAGAAAGCTCTCCCTCCAAGAAAATAAAATAACTTTTAAATTAAGTAAATTTTGTGATAACTTTAAATTTTTTTTAGAGTAATATGATTAAAATTTTTAATTAATAATATTTAGATATATGTTTAAATAATAATTTTATTTAATAATAAATTATTATATTTATTATATTTAAAACAACTAAAAAATATTAAATCTTTATAAAAAATCAGGACGTAATTAAAATTATTCAAAATAAAATAATAATATTATATTAATATTTTTTTATATATTTAATTATTATATTAATATATTATCTTATAATTTTTTATTTATAATAAATAAAAATTATATTTTATTTGACACTAAAAATATATATATACATGTTTAAATAATAAATTTATTTAATAATAAATTATTACATTTTTTTTATTTAAACAAACTAAAGAACGGTTAAGTCTTTAATAAAAATAGAATGTAATTAAAACTAAATGAATTAAAATTTAAGAATAAAATAATAATAATAATAATAATAACATATTGATATATTTTTTATATTTTTAACTTTATTATTATTAATATTTAATTATTATATTAATATATTATGTTATAATTTTTTTATTTATAAAAAATAACAAAAAAAATAAATAATTTAATATATATATATATATATAATAAGATCATATAGTAAATAATATAATTTTAAATAAATTATATGTAATAATATTTTTTAATTTGTTACTTGTTTTATTTTTATTGGTATAAATTTTTTTAGTAAAATATCTATAAAAAATTATTTAGAATACCATAACAGACTTTTAAATTATACAACAAAAGAAATTATTTATGATTTTGATTACTCAACAAGAAATCGATGTCAAAATTTTTAAATTTATAATATCAAAATTTCTTATATTTTGTCCCATGTCATTTGTAGAGTGATTGCAATCATAATCAACCGATAACTTGGAACCACCACAATTTTTTTCAAAGAAACACATTTTATCAGGCATAATTGCTTTACAGAAAGAAATACAAGGCAGGAAGCAGACATAGCACACGTGTTTCCAATAAATTTCCATAAAAAGCTGGAAGAAATAAAAAAGAGAGAATTCATTTTGTCATTTTTCCAATTTTATTCACTGGACCAAATTCATCACACAATACTATAGTATTATTATTTCTCTTCAAATATCAGCTACCACTTTAATTGATTCAGGTAATATGGCTGGATCAAGTATATCATTCACTTTAAAATTTATGTAATTATTTGGAGAAAGGACATTCTTGGAAAGCTGCTGAAGTTTTGGTGCCACTTTCTATGGGGTAATTAGTGTGCTTCCCTGACAGAAGGCCTCCAAACATCTCTGCTGGATCATAGTAAATCTCCACCTCTTCAACTTTCAAAGAGTCATCCACCTGTATAATGAAATTAAAGCTCATGACTCATGATTGTGATAAAGCCCAAAATAAAATGAATTTTATGATCAGTAGCAGTAAAATCACATCACTAATTGTCAATATACGGTGGAATAATTTGTTTTACTTAGAAAATTTTGTTTTTATCACAAATAAATTAAGCTTAGGATATTTTATTTCAAACATTTGATTTCACATCACACAAAGTAGAAACATAGTAAAAGTAATAATACCTTGACAGTTCCTAAGCCATAGAATTGGACCATCTTCCCAGTAGGAGCATGTCCCTTGAAAGGGCCTTCAAAGAAGCCCCAGTGCCTGAATTTAAAGGCAATTTCAGGTGGTCCACTATAAACTTTGATCACTTCCCAAGCAAACCCGCGTGGAAATGCTGATTTGAAGGCTTGATGAGATGATTCAAAAGTCTCTTCATCTGCTCTGTATATCTTCAAGTCTTCTGGTAGAGAACTTTTCAACAAAGCATTATAACTTCCCAACCTTAGAGTTTCCTCTCCAGATAATCCCTCCCTTCCTGCAATTGAAAGATGATAACAATTTTGACAATCTAAAATTAATAGGAAAATAGACAGAAGATTTATATGATCATGCAATGCCACTACTATTTATCATCTTATTCACTTGAAAAACATGTCTCATACCTTGACTAATACTTGATATATGAAATGAAATGTCAAAGATGTCAAAATATATAAGGATCGATTTTGCTTCAAAACTAACAATTCCACAATCCAAACTTCATGCAATTTTGGTACAGTTAGGTAGATAGGACCAAATTTTATCTTTACTACGGAACTAAAGAAGTGTATGATATGAGAAATACAAGGAACAATAGAAAAATACATGGGAAATTTTGATTCATTCACATAGTCGATCAAATAGTATAAGAAAAGGATAATGATGATGATAACAAAAATAGCATGAATGCACCAAACCGAAGAATAAATCAAACCTCTAACGTGTCAATGGAAAAAGATGGAAAGGAAACAAATTTGACATGTAATTACATACCATTCACAAAGAGCTTGAACTTTTCAGGGTTTATTGTCTTGAAGTCCTTTAAGCGGGTCTTGTGTGAGAGCTCCATCTCCCATGACTTGATAGCATTTTGCACTGTCTCCTCAAGTGACCCTTTCGGCCATTCCTGCAAATATTCAATTAAGATAAAGTAACCATACAATTTAGAGAGAGAGAGAGAGAGAGGATAAGAGGGTGTGGTGGTTGCACCTTAGTTCTTCCTTCTTCAAAAAGCTTATTGACAGCATCATAGGTTGGAGGGCCACCATGTCTCCAATGGATGTTCTCACCTTCATCATGCAAGAAAGACCTGTACTTGTCCTTGCCAACTTTTCCAGAGGTTACTTCTTTGTTGGCCATGTCAAATTATGCTACAGCTATAGCCAGTATCATAGGAAGATGGAGATCATGTTGTGCAACATGAGTAGTTATATAGACCTTTTCATCTCCACATCTTGAATCATTAAGATAACGTTTCCTTGTATTACTGAAATTCATTTTTCAAAGATAATTAATAGCAATTTCTATGGATCTATACAGTAAAAAAATTTACAAGAGATGAAATTTTTATTTTATATAGGGGGAGTCGATAATTAATTGCTTCCATCCCACAACATGCTACCTCCACTTTATATAAGGCATTTTGATTTCATTCCTTTATTGATGGTATTCCCTATTTTTGACAGAGGAGAAAGTTACGAAATTAGATACATAAAATTTTGTGGATATCATCTTTATTATTAATCTCCTGACAACAAAATCCATTTTTTTAACATTTAATTTTGTCCATAATTATATTTTAGTTCACAAATATCTCATTCATTATATGTGTATTTTAAAATAAAAACAAATCTAAAAATAAATAAGAATAAATATTTAAAATTATCAAAATATTATAATTAATTCAAGTAGAATTTAAATATTAATTTTGGTTAAAAAATAATTATAAGGATAAAAAAATTGCACAACTAATCCCAAAAAAAAACTGAAGTGCTAATATTTTATGAAAGAGTACGTACATAGACATTTAACCATTCTGACTCTAATTTAACACAAGGGTGGACAATAATAATAATAATAATAATAAATGAAAATAAGCTCAAAGAATCATATTTTTTTAATTTTAAAATATTTAATAAAATATTAATTACAAACAGATATGATCCTAATAAAAATAAATATATTAATGTTTTCTTTCTCTATGATAAGACATTTTTATTTTCAAGCCTTCATATATTGATGGTATTCCTACTTTTGAAATAAGAAAAAGTCACGAAATTTCTGACATGAAAATTTTAGGTATCATTTTTTAAACTCTATTTGGTTATAAAGAAACAAAAACCAAATTCTCCTTATTTATATTTTGTTCACATTTTTTAATACGATAATAAATAGGAAACTATTAACAAATCTCCTTATTATACAGATTATTAAACCAAAAAAAGATAAAGTCCTAAATAAAGAATAAAATGAATATTTTAGGGTTAAGGGATAATTATATTTTTTATTAAAATATTAAATACTTATTATTTAATTAATTTATAACACTCTTTAGTAAGATTTCAGTAAATATCTAACCGTGTATATGTATGTATAATCTTATTATGATACATATTGTAAACCTAATAATTTAATTTCCTTCTTTATTTATTTCCCAAATATGTTTGTTATCCAATTCCTTTTTCTGCTTAATTGTTCTTCAGCTCCCATTTTACGTGCCTGGTAAATGTCTAAACTTTTGAAAAATTAATAATAAATGAATAACTAAACCTAAAGAGATTGATTTAGCTCGAATGATCGGTGAGTGCTAACTATATATATTAATTATATTTTGGAAGGTTACAAGAAATATTTTTGCAACAGTAATCTTAAAAAAATTTGTATAATATATTTTTTTCCTTTTTAATATATTTTCTTTTTTCTCTATCTCTTTTTTTTTTATCATACTATTTAACACATTTTTCACTTAATTCTTTTGTTTTCCTGTTTCTTCCTGAATATATATACATTTAATGAGTGTACAAATAAAAATTTTCAAACCTCAGTGACTCTTTCATTCTCAATATAAATGACTTGTGTGAGCAAATCAGTTAAGATATAAGATACACACAATTAATTTGAACAATCCTTTCATTTAGTTAAAATTAAATTAAGAGTTTTGTTAACTTCAGCCTTAAAGTTGAGTTTTTAAATATTTATAAAAAAAATTATTAAAAAATATACAGTTATTGTATTAAAGTTATAAAAATACAATAAATATTTTTTTAATAAAAAATAATAGCAATATTATAATTAAAGTATTTTTATTGTTTATGTCGAGTTTCTTTAAAAATAGATACATTTGTATTTTTCAATTCCTATAATTAATAGTTTTGTAATGCAAATTTCCTTTTCTAATTTTAAACTTCAATACATATGATGTTATTTTATCTGCTCATGTATATGTTTATTTTTAATTTTTTATAATATTATATTTCAATTTAATTTTTTTAATCAATACAAAAAATACATCATTATTAACAAATAAAAATAATCAAATGTTAGAATAACCTTTATTGGTATAATTTTTGTCTTAAAAAAATAAATATTAGTATAAACTTTAAAAGTTTATACTAACAACATAATGATAAATCTAGTCTTGCGTTTACCATGTCACAAATTTGAATTCTCATTTCTCTCCATTGAGATAAATGTAATTTTTTTAAAAAATAAAATTTGAATTTGATAATTTTTCTTACCTTGAAATAGCATATCATCCTCTCTCAAAAAAAAAAATTTGTTGCAAAAGAAAAGTCAAGTATAACTTTTCAAAGTTTATAATTTAATTTTTTAAAATAAAAATTATATTAACAGAAATTATCTTAATCTTTGATAATTTTTGTACGTTAGTTTGATATATTTTTTTAATTAATAAATATCTGAATCAATTAATAAAAAATATTTCATTTTAACCTCTAATATTGAACTTGAATTTTAGTAAATATATTTTAATTTTATTAATTACTCGAAAAGAAAAATTTTATTGATAAATATATATTTATATAAACAGGATTTCTTGCAGGTCCAGTTATTACCGAACTTACCGAACTTACCGAACCCACCTACTACACGTAGCGGTTTAATTTTTTAATTACTCTTTAAATTGCCATATGGACCACAACTCAACTGAAATTTAATTATAATTTTCAAAATAATAATTTACTATATTTATTAACTTTAGAACACGCTATTCGGATTACACTAAAAATTTAAGACCTGATTGTTTTAATTTTAACATTTGAATTCTAGCAAATTTTATTTGTAAAAAAATCATTCACCATACTTCGTAAAATATGCATTATTTAATGACATCATTGAATTTCATTTGGGAAATTATCAAACTTTGAATAATTTAGTTATTATAAAAAGGGTTATTCTTTTAGGGTACCACAGCACACACCATAATAAAATGGTAAATTAGTGAAATACTATCAATGATTATATATAGATGTTGATATTATTCAAACTACAGTAGGGCGTAAACCAGGACACAACACATTTTATTGTAGTTGAGTATTTGGAATAATTTTGAAAATTAATCAATTGACAAATTTTATTAACTTTTTTATAGAAAAATTTAAGAAAGGATTTATCTTACAAATTCTGTAAATATTAAAATAACATAAAATAAAATGTACCTTTTTAAAGGTTGAGTATAACTCAAACTTCATAATGCTTATTTATATTTTTGTTTTCACAACATAATTATCATCTTATTAATAATATTTGTTTTTGAGGGATCTCAAATAACTAGACTCCTAGAACAAAGAATTTTGATAAATTTTCACGTTAAAGGTTGCGTCTTTCGATCATCATCGGTTCATCGTTTCTGGGACATTTCCTACTATTTATGTAACCATCGATGCCCTACAACTTTTAAACGCATGATCTATTTAAAAAGGGAATTTTCTTAGATTTATGTGTATGAAAAAAGGTATAGAAGTAACATCAATATTTCTTAAAATTCCTTCTGATGATATATTAATTAATTTACACAATTTTTTGTGTATGATCCTCTCTACAACTGTATCAAAAGTCAATTTCAGAAAGTGCCTAGTAATGAAACTAAGCCAATGTCATGTGTTATCCTTCATTAATAGAAGAGTAATATCATATTCTTATAAGATGTTATCTTCATATTTTTTTTAATAAAGTAAATATTAAATAAAAATATATACATTGAATATCTTAAAACTATAAAAATTAATATTTTTCTAATTACTAAATAAAAAGATTAGAAGAAAAAAAATATTATAAGAGGACTTAAAATTATTTATTTAAATTTATAAAGAACTGTTAATTTGGACACTGGCCAATTTGCATTGGTTAGCATACTAATGTGGTTTGCACTAAACAAACTTGAGATAATTTGAACCTTTTAAATAATAGTTCAAGTTTAACTCTCTGTGGATAGCAAGTTTATACAAGAAGCTCGTTCTATGACTTTTTAAAAAAATATATTTTTAAATATATATTAAAGAACTACATTAATAATGTCTTTTAAGTACATTAAAATTTAAAATGCCAAATATCTAAAAAAAATTCATCCCATCACTTTATTTAATAAAATTAAAACTAACTTTCAAATATTGAAAAAAATATTTGGACAAATTTCTCAATTATTTGAATCTCCTTAAGAAAACTTTATATATTTAATTGCTATTACCTACTCTCATCATTATTATTTTTATTATCATAATCTAGAATCAAATATTGATTATGCTTATAAATTGTAATACAAAATAAAATAATAATTTTAAGTTGATAAAAGTCAATTCTAATTTAAAATAAATATTACTTGCAAAAAAATAATCACTTTTGAAAAATAGCAATCATTTTTTTGTGCTGGTCCATCGGACAGGCTCTTTTTGCTGGTTCAATATTTATTCTAAACAAAATGTTAATTAATTAAAAGTTTTAATCCTAACCACCTTAAGGATGTGTTTAAGTAATTAATAATAATGAAGTTTAACAAAAAATATATTTATTATATTTTTATATCTTTAATATAATAAATATATTTTTTCATATAAAAATATAAAACTTTAAGATGTTTAAACTAGATCTCAAAAGTTAAAGGTGACAAAACTCTTAACTACTCCATTCAGTTTTATTTATAAAAACCAATTATCATTTTTTTAAATATAAGAAATAAAGACTCTTTTTTAAATACATTAATTGTTAAATTCTTTTTTACTTTTATTTACTGTGAAATTTATCTTAACAAGACACTTAAGTCTTCCTCATACAAGTGGAGATACATTTAACGTATGAGTTATTAATTTGACTATTTATTATTATGAATATTTTTTAAATATATTATAAATTTATGATATATATATATAACTATTTTGTATTGATTTGATGAATTAATTAATTATTTATTTATAAAAAAACCAGAAAAAAAATTAATGTATTGAGATATGAAGCAATTGATGCTAATGGTGATGCTTAGTAGGTATAAAAGGTCGTTGAGATTTTCTTATCAACTTTCAGCAAGTGCCGATAAATCACGCTAAAGCACGAGTTGATCATAATAATGACACGAATACGACCAATTACGTAATTACGCAAGTCCGTGGGTCAAATTTTAACTCGAGTAATAATGGTGCAATAATAACATTATCTTCTATCCATAAAAAAATAACAAGTTGCATGGTTCGTAGTTTGACGAGTTTAATTGGAATTACGCTTAGCATCTAACCAAACTTAGCTCATATTACCACTGTTGAATGCGTTGATATTTAATGTTGATTGCTTTACGAGGGTAATGGTAGTTTTTATTTGAAGTAACACAAGAAGACATACAAAGAATAACCAACTAGTTGCTATGGTAAGGCTTGCTTCAATTGTGAAAGCTAGTAGCCTATTTATAAGAGCTACCCCTAGTAGTTTTCACTCACTTATGTTTTTCTACAAAGTGGTATATTTGCAAGCGCCAAAATTGAAGAGAATTAAAACATGTTTGATTACTTTTTAAAAACAGTTTATAGTTTTTAAAAAGTAAATCAAACATGCTCTAATTTTTCATTGTCTTAAAAGTATCCAGTTCGTTTTCTACACGGTATTAAACTTTTAATACAGCACGAGAAGTTTTCCTATAAATTTTAAAATATCTGTGTATTGTCAGAAAATATCCAAGAGAAAGCCTCAGAACAATGAACATGTCATTATCTCTGTAATTAAGATTTACACAGTATAAAAAATAAAAATTATAACTAAGTCAACTAAAATCTGAACAGCAAGATGAATGGTCACCAATTGCACTTGATGATTTGAGAGCAAAATCATTCTGAGGTTAAAACTCAATCCTCCTTTCCGCGGTGAATGTCAAATAGATATCTATTTAGACGCTGCCCAAAAGTCTTTGTAGAGAATGACTCAACGACATGTCTCCTAGCTTCTCTGCCCATTCTTTCAGCATCCTGAGGATCATCTACGAGCTTCGCCATTGCTAAAGCGAACTCTTCTGGTGTTGGATCACAAAGGAATCCTGTTACACGACCTTTTATGGACTCCACAGGGCCACCACTGTTGCATGCAATAACAGGTTTATAAGCTGCCATTGCCTCCAAAGGAACAATGCCAAAGTGCTCATCCTGCATCAGATATTTATGTAAAACACTATTTTCTTCATTCAACTTCTACCAATTGTCAGGAATTATAATTCGCTAGGTTTCACATACCTTTGGTGTGTAAAGGACACACAGGCATTCTGAAAGAAGTACGTTCCTTTCGGCCGTAGAGCAAGATGTGATGAATCTTATTTTATTAGAGACTCCTTTCTTTTCAGCTAAATCTTTAAGCTCTTCTAAGTATTCTACATTCTCCTTCAACCGTTTATCGTAGCCACCTGAAACAATTTATGACAATAGGTTTTTCACTCAAAACTGCATGTAGACAAATGCTTAAAAATGAAATGAAGGAATTATGCATGGGCGGTCCACACTTAAGACCCTCTGTTCCGCCAAGAAATTACATTTATAAATCGAAGCAGAATGCCACAAGAAGGCTTTCAAATATAACTAACCTAACATGCCAAGCAGGTGGAAATCAATAAATTTTAGTCTCAATTTTTTCCAAGTCCAACAAAATCTTGCCAAATTTTAATTTTTAGACTAATGAATTGACAGGCACCAACTACTTTCATCCACCATGATAAATTCTGACAATATCCAAAGATTCTATCCAAAGATTCATCATAAGAAATTATCAGCTTAAAACACAAGGAAGATGTTCCTATATATTGATCCTTCTGTGAACCAGCTCAAATTTGCACCACAGAGTATGTACTAGTTCCTTGCACTTGATGGCCAATTACAATTAGCAAATACTAGTGGATGACATCCAGACAGCTTAGTGAAGAGTGTTTTAATAATATTTTTAACAAGTATTAAATGCCTTTCAACAAGATTTTATCATTGTTTTCCATTCAAAATTTGAATGAATTCTCATAGTATCCACTTCATTGTCAGATAAATAAATTTGTGGTATTCTATGTTAAAGACTGGCTCAATATTGTATCAAATAATAACTTCGAAATTTCTCTGTAATATTATATGCTATTCACTATCCTAGAGAAGCGTTAATGACTTCTAGTGATAACCAACCAAATGAACTCATTATCACATCATCAAAATTGCCTTGTTTAAAACAATATGAAGGTCTAATTCTTTAACAGCTATCTTAATCTGCTTTTTCAGGTAAGGTTTGTAACTTTGTCATATATATGTGTTCCATATTTCATTTGATGGCATTGAACTTACAAGTTAATAAATGAACTGTGTCACCACATAATGGTTTTAAATTCTTGTTTTAAGCTAAATAATTATAAGAGAAAATAAACTTACTGCACTTTTCACATCAACTATTAAACAGGAAACGATATGTCAAATCCCAGATAAAGCACCAGATTGAGAAATGATTGCACAACAAACTCACAAGATAATTACCTATAATGCAAGATTGAACAGGTTCCGCAGAGCAACAAAGTCTCTTGAAATGACACAGGGAGAATACAAGATTTTTGAAACTTTAATACAAATCAAACTTAACTTTCATTTCATATATAATTTTATATCTTTAAGAATCAAGATATCACTATTCCAAACTCTGGTAAGAAGCACATACATCAGGACAGATACTCCTGACAATTAGTAATGCACATAATATTAATCAAGTATCAACCTATCATGAGAAATACAAAAACATGCTCACCTGCAATGGTCAAAGAAGCATTAGTAATTTCTTTATGCTTATGAGCTTCTTCAGGCGAATGAAGCATAGCAAAAGCTGAAATTGCTAATTGTATGTTCTTCTTCCTTTCAAAGCGGTTGATGGAAAGAAAATTCAGTCTACAACAGAAGAAACAATACAAAATAAGACTATGATTGTATAAATAAAAAATTGTAAAATAGAATATAAGAACAAGCTACATGCATAATCTTGTAAAGCATCAACCATATATCGACAAACATGTCATTTACTTAAAGGAACTGGGTTCATTGAACTGATCCACATTGACTGCTGGGTATAGAACAGCTGGTCGAATCCCTTTAGTGTCTAAATGCTTAAAAGTATTTGCAAAAGTAGATGCAGTAAAGTTGCTATTAACAATTATCAAATCAGCCATTCCTGCAATTTGGCAAAGCTCAATAAGGGGCATGATTCAACATATACATTAGAAAAGACATTGAGAGTCAAAAAACAATAAAGCAGGGATACAAATGCCAACCAGTTGTTATTTCTTCTACGTAGTCTATCGGTTTCCTATACATCCTCCTAATGAAAGTTGAATGTTGAGCCAGTAACAAGTCCGGGAAATGACAGTAGAATACAACCTAGCAAGAAACTGAAACAAATAAGAAGAATTGAAGTTGTCAAAACAGACATTTACATATGATTTTTATTTTTTTTCTCTTTGCTACCTTTGTTGACCTTTTAAGTTTCAAGATGGGAATAACTACAGACACTTGATCTGCCAGTATCACATCAAACGAGGGCCACATGAAAAGTACACAGAAAGCAACAAAAAGACACCGAAGATATGCACACAACGCATGAAGACGGTAGAATATATGCCTTGGAAGAAAGGAACCATATACAGTAACTGGAAAAGTACCTGAAAGAATTACAAGTCAAACCATATCTTAATGGCAATTCAAGCAATTTCTTTATAAAGAACAGAAATGTGACACACACACACACACACACAGAGAGAGAAGTTCACCAGAAACAGTTTCCTCAAAGCATCTATTTTTATCATGATGTGCAGTGAAAATATGAACTTTATGACCATGGGATGCAAGCTCAACAGCAGCATCAACAATTAATCTCTCAGCTCCACCTACAAAACAATCACAAGGTAATAGGAAATCAAACATAGGGAAGAACACAGTAAAATACGGTTTTACCCAATACAACATTAAAAAATAATAAAGTTAAAGGAAATTCCTCAATTTTTTAAAATTGGAATAGAATAGAAAACAATGGGGGAGAATAGTTATTACCTATGCCAAGATCTGGGTGAATTATTGCGATGTTCATCTTTGAGTTTGTCCCCTTCGTCATATCGAGGGTAAAGATCGAAACTTTGAGACGAAAATAACAAACCCAGAAATCGCTCGCCGGCAACTATGGCGTTGCGGCGGTGACGTAATCTGAAGGATGAAGGGGTTCTAGCTCTTGTTTTGGACCAGGATAAACGGCGTCGTTTGGAACAACCTTCCCGTGTTTAATGAGAAATGTAAATTGGGAATATCGTGTCATAGAAAGCTTGAGTGTGTAAATTTTGAGTGGTGTAATTAGGGGCGTTCAAACTCCTAAATTCAATAGAAAAAGGATCAAACTAAAAATCCAAAAAATTACATTTTATGCCGTAATTTGGTTCAATTTTATTGTGATTGTTAAAATTGATTATAATAAATTTATATTATTTTTTATTATGATTATATAAAAACTTTTTTTTCTTTAATTTTTTTACTTTATTTTATCACACATTATATAAATATATAATTCATCATTTTTATTTATTTTGAACTCTTATTTTTAATTGAATGTTTTTTATTAATAGTTTATTATTTTATAATTTTATTCTTTTAATTATTTTTATTTTTGAACTATTATTTATTTAAAATTAAATTAAAAGTTATATAATATTAAATACACTTTTAAAAAAAAATATATAACAAACAAGATTGTGAAGAAAAATAAAAATAAACCGAAGTTATTCCAGAGTAGTTTTCCATTTTTGAAGCAAGGGTTCAAGCTAGAAGCTTGAAGAGCGTAAATAACCACAGAAAGTTAGTAGCGGAGAAGTGGTAACGAAGCACTCACCGGCGGTAGAGAGACATGACCGGCGAAGAAGTGTCTGGCCCCGCCGGCCCCAAACTCCTCCGTCTCATCTACTTCATCGGCGCCGGAGGTAATCCAATTTCCGATCACTCCTCTCTCTCACTCACACACACAAACGCATACACCTTATTGTTCGTATCTTCAATCTAATTTAACGAACGGTTTCAGTGATCTGTACCGCCGCAATCAACAAGTGGCGCGAGTACGAGAGAAAGACGATCATCCAGCAGAGGCTGCAGCAACAGCAGCAGGAAGTCGCCGAGACGCAGTGTTCGTCGGAATCTGTTGCCGTTCACAAAACTCTCAAATAAAGGTTGGGGTTTATTATTATTATTATTATTATTCCAATGTTTCGATTTGATCGGTGGTTGTAAGACGGCGATTTTGCATCAAAGCAAGTGTATTATGTAGTTTGTATTTTATCTATCACCTTAGCTTTGATCATTAGGGTTGTGGTAGTGAATGTGAGATATTTTAGATTAGGCAATGGATATTTGTCATTGCTTGGTGGAGAAAATGGAAATGAATAGTTATCTAACACTAAAGAGTGTTTTGTGGGGATTGTAATGGAAACAGTAATAAGTTTTAAGAAAACTCTGTATTGGTGAATAATTTGTCGTTTATTTATATCATTATAAAAAATTGAAGGACTTTAGAACTTGAATTTGATTGAGTTATTCAGAATTAATTGGTGATTATATCTGAGTGTCTCAATATGAATATGCCATTGGACTTCATAACTAAGATTGAGTAGGTTATGGATCTTCAAAATATTTACAAAGATGCATCAAATATTCATTGTTTTCTCTAGGTTTGGATTTTGATATATCAGCTGTAGTGGGAAGGATTGCTTTGAGATTCATTTCACATTTCAACAGAAAGGAATGTGGGAGTTATTTTTGGAAATCTTGGGTAGACAAAAATCAGAAGTTGTTAAAAACACAAGATAGAATGCTTGTACAGATTTGCATTCTGTTTTATTACTTTGAAGTTGAACTTACGTGTTATGGGTGTTGGGTGACATTTCAACCATGAATTCCAAGTAAAGAGTCATGTTGGTCGGTGTTCACTTTGGTTCTTCTATCATGCAATAAAGTATCAATTCCCTTTGTTTCTTTTCTTATTTGTTGCGAATCAATGGTACTTTTTCTTCTCTCTACTGGATTGTGTCGTAGCTGTACTGTCAGTCATCGCACTCATCCTGTGACCCTAACCCCATTTCCCCCCAAACACTATTTCATTGACTCAGTGGTTGATTGAATTTCTGTAATTCTGTTAACTGGCTATTTTGACAATTTTCAATGTTTATCTCGTCCCTGTGCATTTGCTATTTATTCTAGTTGGCTGATTCAAATAATCCTGCCATGTTCGTTCTACACCTACTAAAAAGTCAAATCCAACACTGACTAACTTCTTTAAGAGTTTACATTCAATACAAAGAACTCTATCAAAATAGTAATATTTGATTGAATCTAGTTAGCAACAAATTGTCTAAATCTTCTTGTAGAAGAGGCTCATAGGAAATTGTCTAACTTGGGTTCAAACTGAAGTTTTGATACAAAATCAGTGGATTACCTTGTATATAAATAATGGATTCATCTTAGATTGTATTCCATGACAGTGCCAACAGTCCCATTACACAGAACCTTGTGAAAGAAAATATTTAGCTAGTCTGGATCTTTTATTGATGTTACTCATGAAAGAGGACTGGTACAAGAGAACTATGGCAAGTTATGCCAAGTGTCTTACTAGTATGATGTAGCAATTATAAATGTATTGATTTCTTGGTTTTGATATTATTAAGTGACAGGTGAGAAGCCTGTTTTTCCAGTACTTAAAACTACACGACTGTCGAGTCTGATAAACAAGTCTATTGTAATTTATACGTTACGCCAATAAGGCAAACTTCTCCATTGTCTACATCCCAAAGAGTAAAACACATAAAAAAAGAGCCGGTTTCTTTTGGTAAACCAAACCAAAGAGTCTTAAGGTACAAATTATTGAGTACTGTAGGGGTGGGCACAAAACCAGAAACAGCGCCAATCCGAAATAACTGATTGACGTTCCAGTCATTGGGTAGGTTTGGGTGGGTGATCGAGTTGTACAAATAAAAAAATGGTTAATAATGGATTAACGTAAATCTGAATGCTTCTATTCTTTGACCCACAATGTTAACTTAACCCTCTTGACTTTCCTTTCACTTTTCTGCTAGTCTGCCCTCTACACCCTCTCTCTCATTGCAAAGTTGTAGGCTATACGATATGAGAAGAAAAGCACTCAACCCGCTGCCGTAGGTGAGTGATGAAACCTAACCTCCCACTGTAGTTTTTTTGTTAGTTGGTCGAGAACTTCCCACTGCAGTTATTCGCAATGTGACTGCTAAGATGCATTACTGTACTGCAAATTACAGGGGCTTGAACTTTACAAGAATCTAGTAGAAACACATTTTTTAGGGCATGCACCAGATGCAGATTCAATATCCATGTGTGTAGGTTTAAAGTAAGGATGCCAAAAAATGACCACAAAAAATAGAAAAAAGTTTAAAGTAAAACTTGTTTTATTCTATATAAAAAAAGCCAATTAACACATTTCTTTTGTAAATTAGAAGTCACAAAAATGACTGACTGACAAAAGTCATGTTTTTTTATTGAATGATTCGATTATAATTTGATTTTAAAAAGGTCGTGCCGAAGGTAATATGTTTTTGTCCCCCAAAATAAAAATATAATTCTTCATTGATGAGAAATAATTATTGACATATCACAAAAGTCTAAGATGGTATATCTGAAAATTAGCTAACAACCAAACTACCGGCAATCCAACATGATCTGAATGAGATAGATTTGTTCACCATTTTCATGAAGAGCACATACCATCTGCACCTGCAGGCTGTTGCTTTCAACAATCATCTTAAAAACGCCAAACACCCCCATCACAATGAAGTATAAATAGACACGAAAATAGTTGGCATCAAATGCTGCTCTTTTACAAGAAATCAGTAAAGTGATATTGCAGTGAAACATACCTACAAAGGCAAAATCAATCTCATGTTATTTGTCTTTTAAAGTAATATACACTTTAATAAAATTACTATGATAAAATGACTTATTTTGACAAAATTATCTTTATTAAAAGAATTAAAAATTTTAATTTAAGTATCTAGGTGAGATACCAATAAAAGAGATTATTATTAAAAAAATAATTAATGTTTTCTTAATTTTTTTTAAAGAGAGCAATATTTTAAGATAAATTAAGAAAGTCAAAGAAACATGTAATATGAGACAAAGGGGATATTTAATTATTTGTCATTAGCGTAGTTGAACCATATTGGTTTAAGTACAAATTTTATTTTTGAAATAAATTAATTCAATGCCAAGAAGAACAAAGAAATAAAGTCACATTTGTACATAGTCGTGTTCTACCTTGAAGGAAGCCTTTGATATGTCATGTCAAGAAGGAAGACTTACCTCTATTAAAAAGGAGTGAATTTTAATAATAGATGTTGGAAACTCGAGAATCATTCCCAAGTCAAGGGGATTCTAGCAACATGAAGAAATTAACAAAATAGCAAATGCTACACAAGAATAAGTAACAAGTTGATTCTTTCCGTATGATTATAAATCAAAGATTAGGATAACTTGCTCGACTGTATCAAAACATTGTTATACTGAGAAATGCTAGAAATTTTTTATTAACATATTCTATCTAACACATTTTTTATTATTACATAAAATTTATGTATACTTCACTAAATAGAAAATGAGATCCATTCAAATAAAAGGTGAAACTCAGATTATTTAGTGAAATTTAAGTAAAATTTGCTTCATAATAAAGAACATTAAAAAAATGTCAAAATACATATTTTTAGCATTTTCTTTATTATAGTTTTTCTTTCATCTTAAAAAAAATACCTTCATGCTAAGTAGTTTATTCCGCAAGGAACGAGAATACATACAGTTATATATATGCTTGAAAGAAACACCTCAACTATTCATCTGCAGATAAAGATAAAATGCAAAAACTCTAATCAAGTTGTGGACAGCTATGCAAAAATTCATTCTATATGAGTTTCTTTCTTTCTTTCTTTTCTCTTTTTCATCGCATATTTTGACAAGACTTCATAATTTAACTTTTTTGCATGCATATCTAATCATGATTTTATAATTTAATTGATTTTCATGGATGTAAATAAAGTGTAAACAAGGCCCCATTATATTGTTTTCCCTAGTTAATAGAACTTGTGAAAGACGCTTATTGTAGTACATTTCATCTATCTTTTACACCAAAAGACATGCATAAAATGAACATTGGATAACTTTGACAGGCCTTTCAGCATTTGCAACTTATCTTGTATGAGAGCTATTAATGAAGTCTGGAATCCCACAATCACCGTCAATCAATTCAAACTTGAAGAGGAAACTTTTCATGACAATCACACCCACTTATTCCATTAATTAATGGACACGATATTAAGATTCAAGAACATCGTACTCTTCTGCAACCATAAATACCGAAGGTAAATTAAAGTGGTCATATAAATGTAGTGTGTGGAACAATATATCATCACTCAACATGGTAATGTCCTATAAAGCATTCAACTCAAAATTACACGTGATAACTTTCTTTAGACAACTATGAGTTGGATACTGGGATATATGAGACATAACAATTAGTACTTCACTATACCTTTATCTATCACCCAAGAGATCAGAAGATTACAACTATAATAATAATGATGATGATGATACCACTATATATAAGATTAATAAAATGAATACTCCAGCTGATGCTGAAAATAATCACGATATCTAATTTGGCAGTAGAAATATGCAGAAATTTTAAAGGAGAAAAACCAATGTGCAAACCATTATAAATTCCTAATTAATTTTTTTCATTAAAATTAAAAGTTTTAAAATATTAGCAGTGTCAATGATTTGCTAAGAAAAGATACACAAACATATATAACAAGTATCTGTAGTACTTTTAGTCTCTCACAAAACATCACTTAAAACTTAGAAGTGAAAAAATACCTAATAATTTGGTAAATCTAATATATACTAATAGAGAATAGGAAACCTAATCGAACTTGTACTCAACGCATAGATCCCACTTCTCTACCTATAAAATTATTTGCACCAAACATTGAACAGAATAACAAATTGTACCGTAACTCAACTGTTTTCTACTGCCCCTCAACATGTATTAGATGCAAACCTTTCTCTTCTTCGCGGAATTGCTTGGAATGAGATGCCACCAAATGAATGATGGACAAGAATTTCAACTTTCTACGTACTCTCAAAGTCACGGAGTTATGTTAGCTTGGTTACCAGAATGATCTAATATTGCTGATAATAATATGGCTAGAGAAGTCTGAGTGCATAACGTTTTCTTTTATATATATTATTCTCATGTACCAATTTTTTATATAAGAACACTCGCACATATGCATACATTTTTTCCAAGTCTCAAATGAATAAAATATAAATATTATATAATTTTAATTATCATGTGTCATTAATATTTCTCAATGTTAATTAAAAACGAACATTGGTGTTATATTAGGACCCATAACCAATGCCTGTTGGTAGAAATAGTAAGGAGATTAAGTTTTCTTAAGTAATTAAGTTCTTGAATGTAAGTAAGGTAAACAGAAAAAAAAATCAGATTTTAGAAGAGCTTTAGTCTTCAAATTAATGAATTTTCTTAACTTAATTCAGATTAGTCGAGACTTAATGTGACTTTTGAACATTGAATACAACATAAATACAAAGAACTTAATTAAAATGTACTCAAGAATATTATCATTCAATTATGATAGTGCGTCAAAATTAAACTCAAATACAAATATATGTTTTTACATCAACAAAATATAAATATTATAAATCATAAAAACAAAATCCTACATATTAATTAATGTTAAATTTTCATATCCACCCATTTTTAAAACAATTATTATTTAATAAAATTACTCCCAATCCAAGACAAACATTTTTAACTATATACTCAATTCATTTATTTATGCAAGACAAATCAAACATGAAAATTACTATATGCTCCACTTTTTTGCATGAAAAGAAAAGTCTACGGAAAAAAAATTACTATCCTTTTTTCATATTAACTTATACTTGGGTTCAAGCTTTAGCAAGATTTTGCAATAATATTTAAATGATAAAACATAAAAAAAGTTAGACATTTCAAGTTGAGTTACTTAAGTATTGAGATCTTTAACATCTCAACCAAACTTTGGTCCATCTGGGTAAGCTCCATTTAGTACCTACCTACAACTTAGTGGATTGTAGAAAAGGGCATGGGCCCTATATGAAAGAGGCATCATGCAGATATACGGTCTTGATTCTTGCGTCTGCATGCCCTAGATTTATAGGCAGCAAACTTCTTCCCTAAGAATTGATTCTTTCAGCTTTTCATCTTGTATGGTTACTATGCCATGTAATTGAGCACATTTTTCAAGTTTTGTCTTACGCCCAAGGATAATATCTAAAGAGTTATGTATATACATATAACGAATATGACACAAGATTGGGTCTTCTCATCCCTATATTATCTACAGATATCTATCAATCTCTGTACCAAACAAAATTTTCTGACTTAAATAGTGAAAGGAAAAGGACGAAATAAGCAACAAAATACACACAAAATAAATAAATAAAGTGACATGGGATAGGGTCATGGAAATGATAGAACGTAAGCAATCAATTCATGCGTGAATTAACACGATTTTCCATTTCAATTTTTTTTCCTATAAATATGTGTTCCAGTGTGGTCTTGAGAGTGGTGCTTTTTTCTCAAATACTATGGCTTATATGTTCCCGACAATGTCTGGGTGGCAAATGGGTATGATGGGATTTCCTTAAATGGAATGTTATGTCTTGATCAATTCAATGTATTCCAGAGAACTATGAGACCCCCACACTATTTTTCAGATTGATCAGGACCCAACGACACACTAACATCTTTACAAAAACTAGTACTTGTTGGAGATATACTGAGGCTTAAAATATTGAGAACAAACTATGAAAAGCAGACTTGGATACTCACTTAACTTAAAATCTTAAAGAGTGTTAATTGTAAATTCTTATAGCTTATATACTCTCTTAACTTATCTAATGTAAAACTTCTTTACTTATACTTAACTTTAATCCTTACTACACAGCCACAAACCCTTTGTTGTCACTACCTATAAAATTGAATCAAAATTTTATCACATCAAGAATTGATGAGAAACATGTCATTTTGTCATTACACATGGGGAGTGGGAAGGAAAGGAACACTGTTTTGATGAGTGGGGTACTAACTTATCCTACTCGATGAATATTAGTCAATAGTCAATTTCACAACTATCTATATCGCAGGTTAAGGACACATTTTTTCCCTCTTAAAACATGTTTCCCTTTCTACAATCAAGGACACTAATTTTACTGAAAAATAATTAAAAGAGTGGTCGCATTCCAAGTTGAAGAAAGAAACATTTGCAACCACAAATAATGCTTTTTATGTAACTGTGTATATATATATGACTTAATTTATAGGCGTCTATTTCAACTTTAATATATGTAATGCCATTTTTTATTTAATTAAATTTTATAAACATTTTTAAAATTATTAGTTTGATTAACGAACAAGAATGGTATTTTAAACAAAAATTTTAGAGTAAGAATAGTTATAAAAGAAATGTTATTTCAACCGCTGCAATTTTTTATGTTTCGGGTGTATTTATGAAAAGTAGTTTTTATAAAAATAAATAAGAAATACATAATATTAATTTTCAGCAATTTAAATAATAGAACTGTAGTGATAAACATTATTTTAAAAAAAATAAAAGGAGTAGTCCATAGTATATAAGAGCATTATCGAACAGCCTTTTAACCTTCCCTTCTTCAGCATAGTTGAAAATTTTCTCTTCTCACATAATATACATTAAGATTTACGTAAACTTTGTTTAAGGAGTTATATAGACACACTCTAAACTTGTTTATATAAAAATTATAACGTGATTATTTTGATTTTCAAGAATCTAAAACTAACAATTTTTTAAAATAAAAGAGAAAATATTAAATTTGAACGAATGAAGGTGCTTAAAGTGATAACAAAGAGGCTAGAAATGTCCTAATCAATTGGGAGAATATCCAATGAGAAGTGAAGATTGGAGGCTCACATGGCCACGTTTGTGTTGCTATAGAAAGTACTGGATGCCATCAAATTGGGGTACCAAAACCATGCAACATTTTTTAATGAAATGACATCTCTGTTTGGCTCTCTGTGAGATATTGTTCTGAAGGTAGATATATTACTGCTCATAACTTGCAGCTTTTTGTTTCTTTCTGCCTTTTCAATACAATATCTCTCTTATTTTTTCATAACCTTTTTTTCTTTCCTTTCTAAAAGTTGTTTGTTCTCCTGGTGAGTGGGGTTTCATGCATCTTATGACACCTTACACACCAGACACATACTAAATAAGTTATATTATTTAAACACAAAAAAAATACATAATAATATTATATGTAATCATTTATTTTTCACTCATTTTAAAAATATATTCTAAAATTAAAAAGTCAAAGTTTTTAATTTATTGTTATATTTAATGGAGAAACCATATTCTGAACAGTGATTAAATATATGTGCCTCCGTGCAAAGTGTCGTTGGGAGCTTAAATCAGCAGTAGCAAACAGATGGTATCATTGGTAAGTTTCGTGATTGTTCTAAATTTCCCACATCGTTTTCTAGGTGCCTAATATGGTGAAGAGGCTAGTCAAACTAATGAAAAACTATGTTATACAAACTCATTGCCATGCGAGTTGGAGTAACTTAACTTTAAAATGTAGTGGCCCCAATAGGACATTGTTTGTACAGTGACCATAATGAGGTTTGTGTTGGAACTTGTATCAATAATGTTATGCTCCAATGTCAGAGTAAATATTTTACCTAAATAATTTACTATAAAGTGCGTCATGATTCGTAATTGCAAGGTTTAATTTCAATTTCCCGTTTATTGTCAGTTATATTCATGGAACAACTGCTCAAATTTTCCATTATACAGTTACATATATGTTAATGAAATGGAAATGGCTAAATGTCCGAAAAAACAATGTTCAAGTGGTATTCAAACCAGATTCAGCTTTTTGATCAAAATTCAAAAGCGGGTGAGATCGGTTACCAATGCTTAAATCGCATGTAATTCACAAATGCCTCAGCCATCTCATTTCTCCATGACAATTGACATGAGCTATAGCATAAAATAAAAGGTTGCTTAATTTATACTAGTTGTTGTAAGTTGTTAAGTATGTATTGGTTTAAATAATTTTTTTGGACAAATACTTATAAATCAATTGATTAATGGTATAAAACAAACTTTACTTTTCATATACAAGTTAATGTGAAATTAGTTTATGTATTTCAAACTTTCAAAAAAAAAATTGTCACGTTAGTGTCTATAAACTTGTATAATAGCTCCTTTAGTAAAGACGATAAAAGAATGTAATAAAATATATTCTCTTATCTTATTTTATTTTTATATTTATTTAAAATAAGATATGATAACTCTATATCCTGTTAATTTATACTTTTTTTTTTTAATGTAAACTGTATTCATAAAAAATTGAGTTAATTAAAAATATATTTAATATAAAATAAGATAAGCATTTATCTTGTTATTTTTTACAACTTAACAAATGATGTTTATCTCATTTGAAAAGCTTTCATGAGCTAGAAGAAGCTGGTCAATCCAAAATGTCTTATATCATCCCCGAAGTTAGACAGCCGATTGTATCTGTGTGTGTCTAATTCTTCACTGTCATTGATCTCAAAGCCTTCGAAAACTTGCTAAGGAGGAAGAAAATGATTCCCCAACAGCTAGATTACGTTAAACTGAAAAGTGTGCTAATTTAATATAGTTACTCTATTGAACCTGCAGCTGCTTATAGCTGAGTTACAGGTAACCTAACTTCACACATACACCATGTGTATTAACAATCACAACAACTATTGGAGGGTGCAAGCACCATACACACAAAAAACACACACAACAAGTATTTGAGGAGAAAGAAATCCATTAAAAAAAAATTGAAACCATCTCTCTCTATGAGTGGAAATGCTACTACTAAAAATCAAAAGACTAAACTGAAAACAAGTCAATGAGTCATTAAATTTCATATTAGGAGATGATAAGTAAGATGGAAGCTTTTCACTTGTAACTAAGTAATAGAAGTGAAAGGCTGCATAAACATATGGAATCTAACTAAGATTCTGAAGATGGTAAGTGTAAATACATTTTCATCTGACATGACCCTACTTCAAATAAACATCCAGTTAACCTTCTCTCTGCCTCTAAGACCTTAACCAGTTGACATAGTGACCTAAGAGTAAGTACCCAAACGAAGCTCCAGATCTAAATCATAGCTTTTCGGCAAACCTATCTCCAAATCCATCCTGAGAATCTCACCCTTCTTCAACATTTTACACCCATCTTCTCTTCCAAAAGCATGATCATATTCTCCAATCCCAGCTGATAAAGATTCTGCAATCTTTGACTTTGTGGGCTCTGGATTCTTTGTGCTCAAAGGGTTCAATAGGATACCATCCACAACAACCCATCTCTTCAACTCAGAAGAATGTGAAGCAGAAGGTGGAGAAAATGGAGGAGGAGTAGCAGAAACAAACAAGGGCAATGTGCAACTGACAGGCTTAAGAGGTGGAGAAGATGATGTTGGTAAAGACAAAGATGAGGTTGAGTTGTTAGGGTTAGCGTTAGGCTCAAGGTTAAGGTTCAGCACATGGCTTTGACCACCTTCAGTTGGAGGTGACTGTCTCAACCTTGCTCTATCCCTCCTATGAACATTCATGTGTCCACCAAGTGCCTGAGCAGACTTGAACTCCTTTCTACAGAAGCTACATGTGTATGATCTTGGTGGCCATGGGAAGCCATTCATGTAGTCCTGATCATGATATTCACCATTACTGTGAGAGTTGTTGCAGTCCCAAATGAATTCTTTGGCCATGGTGTTCTTGTTATAGCAGTTGAGAACATAGGTGGACGACTCCTTTGTTGGACTCTTGTTGGTAGATGAAGTGTAAGTGTAATTACCTTTCATCAAATTGTTCCTCTTCATGGCCTAGCTTAGCTCCTCTCTTTGATTCCTCAGGAGATGGCAATGTCTCAAAAAGACACTGTCTTACTCAAATCATATCATAAAAAACATAAAAAGATAGATAAAAAGGGTCTCATGTATCTCTCAAAAGTTGTGTTGTGACTTGTGAGTGAATGATCACTTAGAGAGAGAGAGAGAGAGATGAGAAGGATGGTGTGTGGATGAATGATGATGAAGAAGAGGGTTGGGGATATTTGAGTATATAAGAGAGTGAAGTGTGATGGAAAGAGTCATAGAAGGGAAAAAGAGCATAAATTTTGTAAACCGAAGACAGGGAATCCCATTGGAGGGTATCCCTGAAAAGTGGTGAGTGTTTGGTCACTACTTGCTAAATTTGGAACCTCGGCCTGCCAGGGTTACACACCTTTATGCCATATTTCTGTCACTGGTCAAGTTACCATGACATATTCATATTTTGTTCTCGGTAAAGATCCAACCTTATTAACTCACATTCATGAACCAAAAGTGGGGAGAGTTAATGACCATTTTATCATAAATATTAAATCAACTTTTTTAAGTAGCATTCGTCAACATAAACATAACAATTTATATATAAACTTTTTATTAAAAATTACCAAATATTATAATATCTATTAGATTATCTTCGAGATCACCTGATGTAAAATTATTTATACATGTAATCTAAATAAATAATAACATTACGTATTTAAAATTTTAACTAAAATTTACTATTTATTAAAATAAATCCTAAATACACGTTTAAAAAACTGAAATTAAATAGCTAGACTTGAGAACTTTTCGGTGGGTCATGAGCATGTGAAACAGGAATGAATCTTCTAACTTATATCAAATGTTAATATATATAATAAAATCATATTCAAATTATTTTTAGATGATAATAAATAGATAGAATTTATTTAATATTTATTAGAATATAAACATAACATTTAAAGAAATTGTGTTATATATGCCTGTGTTTGTGTTAAAGGATCCATTCTGCTGTAAAATCATGAAATCTCAATTAAATAGGCTATAGCAACCACCGAGGGTTCATTTTGGAGGTTATTTTGAGATTTGGGGTGTGCGCTCTATAGATTAGACTTCTAATTATGAAATGATCGATCTGCTCATCAAGTAGTCATATAAAAACTCACTTAAAATGGGTTGCTTAGGAAATCATCACGTTAATAATTGAGTTTAGTCAAAGATTTTGACCATCAAAACTAAACATATCTATTATATTACACTACATGAGATCTTTTTTTCACTTTGTGTGTATACGAGGATTTTGCTTTCTAAGCAATAAACTAAGAAATCATGGACAACCTCTTAGCCAATATAACGTAATGATTTCATCACTACCCATTTAACCCATCCTTCATCTGGTTTAAGGTAGATTTGAACAGGGAAATGTTTTGGAACGCTAAAATAGAATTAAAAAATTCTTTTAATTTTGATGCACATATATAATAATAATAATAATAATAATAATAATAATAATAATAATAATAATAATAATAAAGATAAATAATGAGAAAAATATTTATAAAAAAATACAAACTAATTAAGAAGATTCATTATAGGGAAAAAAACATTTCACTTTCACCATGATGTATAGTTACTGATAATTTGATTGATCAAATTAGCACTTTCGTGAATTTTCGTCTAATTGTTTTCGAATTATATAATGCTACTAACATGAAAAGAATTTAGGACTAAAATGGATTAAATCAAATTTTATAAGACTTGAATCTAATTTGTTTCTTAAATTAAAGATTTAAAGTTTGTCCTATTATCTTATATAAGTCTTGTTTAAGATCTATCTAAACATTTTTATAAGTTTCATCTCATTCAAAAATCTATTTAAAAATTTATTTCATAGTGAGGTATTAAATAAGATTACAATCATACTTTTAACTTTGTAGGTTAATGAATTTAACTATTTAAGTTTTTAAATTAAATAACAAACTTATAGTAATATCAAAATATTCTACTAAAAAGTCAATACAATAATAATAACAATTATTATTAGTAGTAGTAGTATTACATTTTGCTCAACAAAGGTGCTGCTAATTAACAGCTGGACCTGTTGATAGCTTCTAACCTTAAAATGCGAGTATTTTATCAATTCAATACTAGGTAATTATGCTTTAAATTCAGTCATCTTTTACCCAACTATGACTTACCGAGATAGCTTCAATATTTGGAATTGGGAACTTCGACATGTTAAAACAAATAATTACTATATCTAACTTGGTAACTTTGGCATTTATAATGGTAGAAATTTATAAAAAAAAAATGTGTATTTTGCTAAATGAGGAGTATTGACCCCCTTGAGCTTTTCACATGGAACTTTTTGTTGCTACAATTTGACAGAATGTGGTCACATAAAGAAGTTCATTCCATTGGGGGAAACATCCCACTCTGACTGAGAAGAGAAATGAGAAGAGTAGTTAAGATACCATGCCACTTGCATTTGGAATATAAGTGCACACCCACATTTCCTTATTATATACCACTTTCTTCCGAGTAAAGGAGCAAGTTTTAAGTGAAGCCTAGATAGCCAAAAGATCCTTCTATATCTAACCCAGATCTACTAAAAGACTAGAGGCCAATGAGATGCTTGAATAGTTTAATACAATTCCATACATGGGTTCCATTTTCTTAGGTTCTATAGCCAAAATGGCAGGGTTTACCACAAGTGCAAGGGGTGCCGTCTCTGGCACTCATGCTTAATCAATTAAATTTCTAAAGATTGAAAAGTAGAGTACATTTGTTGTTGGGTCATCAGCACTAGCCTATATCACTAGCTATTGGAGCAGGATCTGTCTCTTTTTGTATATTATATAAATAATAATAATAATGAATAGTTACCATATTTATGTTTGACAAAAAAGACAAAACAATGAAGATTCAAGGTTGAATGTATGTATATATCAACTGTGAGTTGCTACTGGCTAATATAAAAGTTGAATTGTGTGTGTATACCTTGATTGTAGTCTTATTCATGATCCATCAAACCTTGAAGAATGGTTCATTTTGTGGGACTTTGACTTGGCTGAACCCCCTTTAGTGGGTTCAACTAAATCTGAATGGACAAAAGAAATGTAATGGCTGGTTCGGTTATAATTATGTCCGCAGGATGTAATTCAAAAGCTCTTTTTAGTATCCACAGTGAAACTTTTTGTTACTTTATATGTTAGTACCTTTTTATAGCAACATCATTTAACACCAGTAATGTTAGCGCGCTCATAGCGTATAATTCATATATGCAAGTTACTGATACTGATAAATTTAGAAAAATACAAGTACTGTTTTATGTTATTTGGACACTTATGATGTATATTTATATTTTTTATGTCCCTTTAAAAATTAAAGATAATATATAGTATCAACCCAGGGTGTTCATTTCCAAAATAAAAATAGACGTCACATGTACACAAGAATGTCACCGTATTAAAAAAAATGAAAATGAGACCTAATTTTTATATAAAATATTTATTTTTAGTTTATTTATATAAATTTTCGTTACATAATTCTCTTTTTTTATACGTGTCTTTAACTTCCAACTTTATTAAATTATTTATCATCAATTTTTTATTTTATATAAAAAAAAATTTATCTCAAAAATCAGCAACTTACATTTTCAAATAATTTTTAAATTTTTCATTGAATTTTGATTTTTTTCCCTGACACTAAATTTTATAAAATGTTTAGTTTATTTGAAGAAATTATACTTTATATATATATAGTTATTTGTTGGTTTGTTGCTCATAATTTTTGTACCTGATTTAGCTTTGAATTAATTGAATATATATGTAATACTCAGATGCCTTGCAATAGTACTAGATAAAAAAAAAGGTAATAAAACTGAATTTGATATCATTAATAAATAAACTTTTTAAACAATGAGTAGTTAAAAGAGTTTGGCTTTTTAACTTATTTAAGACAGTGAGTATAACAGTTAAACTTATTTAATGATTTGTCAACGCGTATTTGTATGATACTAATATGAAAGGGGGAAAACATTGACATCACATCTAAATCAAAAGACTAATTAATGTAATTGATAGTCAATAATAAAAAACAATGGAAGATGTAGATCTATTTTGAAATGGTACCCAAAGTCCCATTTCGAGCCCGTCATGGGTTTGCCCATACTTTGGGTCAGCATCATAAAAGGCCTACCACAGAGCAACTTCTTCAAAACGACACATGACCCATAAACTCTGCTTTTGCACATAAAATGGGCACAATGCCAATCGTTTTCGGGTGAATCAGTAAATTTAATATTAATCATGGCTGCATTTGTTAATGTCCAATGCATTATGAAATCAACGGTTGAATAAACACATCAAATGATATTTTTAGGGTGATTGGGTAAATTGAATGTTAATAAACTCCTAGATTGGTATAAAAAGACAAATTACAGTTCAAAATCATCGTTGAAAATTGTTGGATACTAATCTCTTCAGTCAAAACACTTCGAAGGTAATGCAACGATGAATATGAAAAACACTACTTAACGTAACAAACTCTGCTACAGAATAGAGATTATGAATTATATAGTCTTATATTGGACAATCTTTTTTTATTCTTTATGGGTAAGTTATTATAAAGGGTGTTTTTATCTTTCTTAAAAAAATTATTTATTCTATTAAAATTTATCATGAAATTAAGTAGAAAAATAAATGTATCTAGATTAATCTTAATTATATATTTTTCATGAAAACATACCTTAAACTAATAAAAACTAACTATGTAATTTGAAAACGGGGTGGTAAGATTGAGAAATTAGATTATAACTCTGATGTTTATTTACTTTCATTCATTTCATACTTTAAAGTAATGCGTGCAATATTGAAAGTGAAGCTTGCAATATTGATCATGTTTTATTAAATTAAACATTTTTTAGTGTGCATTCAAAAATTTACTATAATAATTTTTATTAAAATCACGTAATATTGAAAAATTAATATTATAAATTTTAATAATTTTTATTATTTTTTCTATTATTATTATATATTCTTTTACCCAGGTTAAAAAATAAGTTTCTATTAAATTAAAAAGTGGACTAGTCAAATGTGCACACGAAAGCAAGCAAGTCGAAACCTGAGAGTTACACGTAACATGCACGCGCCTTCACCCCACTCTCTCTCTTTCCTTTCTTTCATATTTTGAACCCTCTTTTCTCTCTGCATAATACACCAAAGAAACAAACAAACACCGTAACAGAGAGAGAATGAGCACCACCTCTTCTTCTTCTTCTTCATGCATGGCCTTTGTCCAATTCTACGAGTCATGGTTGGAGAAGCTGAAGGAGCTGGTGCAGCAACTAAGAGCAACAAGGGAAAAGGAAGAGCATGAAGAAGAAGGAGAAGAGGAAATAATAGAGAAAGTGATGTTGCACCACCAAGACTATTACAGAGCCAAATCGGAGGCTGCGGAGAAGGATGCACTCAACGTGTTTCTTTCACCATGGGCCACCACACTTGAACGCTCCCTTCATTGGATCACTGGGTGGCGACCCACCACCGCTTTTCACCTCATATACACAGAGTCTTCTCTTCTCTTTGAATCACACATCATTGATATTCTTCAAGGCCTTCGCACCGGTGACCTCGGTGACCTTTCACCGTCCCAATTCCGACGTGTCAGCGAGCTTCAGTGTGACACTGTAACACTTCCTTTTCCATCAACTAATATTTTTCTTCTTATACATTTCTATTTAGTCTTTTTCATTGTTATAGTTTTACTGCTCAAAATCTTGTTTTCTGTTTAATTTTCTTAGTAATTTTGCAATAAACAGAGTGAATATAGGTATAAATAGTTAAATACTAATAGCTTGTTTGAAATCTATAGTCTAATAATAACATGCATACAATTTAGGTCAAGCTAACTTTACTTTTAAGGCTAGGCTAATACTTCTTTTTATGTCAGATTTTGAATCATTTAAATAATATCTTAAACCTAATCAACTGACTTATTTAAATAATAATAAAAATAATGTATTTTAAATTTAACTGTTTACTCTATCTATAGGTATACTAATTTATATATAAATTTAGGATATAGACTGAACCTTTTTTACCCCTTTAAAATATCTTATTATAAAATCAATTTATAAATCATGTATAATAAAAGGGTTAAACTATTCTTTAAAAAATATTCCCATGAGGTAAACAGGTAGTATAAAGTTGTGATTTCTGGGTCAGAATAAATTGAGACCTTGTAAACAAAAACTAATTAACTAGATTCAGCACATTTTCTCTCCCAACTTAATAAAATACGCATGTAATGTAAATCTATACCTTTATTTTATTTTTGGAGCATGTTTATTTTTTATAAGCAAATATTCTAGACAAATTTTGTCAATGGAAAAAAAACAAGTATTGATAGAATAGTCTCATTGTTTTGTAATGTAAATGTCAATGGAATTTTGTAAAACTTATATTCACCGAATTTACATAAAAATTATATTATTTAATAGTATTAATATATTAAATTTGATAATAATTTATAAAAATAATTCTTAATTCCCGAGGGAATTGTTTTTGTGACACAGGTGAAGGAAGAGAATGCAATAACCGAGGAGCTATCAGAGTGGCAGGACAGTGCGAGCGAGATGATGGGTCTTCACCCGGAAATCAACGAGAAGATTGACGGGCTGATATGCATTGTAAACAAAGCCGATGATCTACGGCTAAGAACACTGCAGAGTGTGGTGGGCTTGCTGTCGCCGCAGCAGGCTATCGAGTTCTTGATGGCTTCTGCTGAGTTGCTCCTAGGGATCCGTGGATGTGGATTGAATCACGACCGTTCCCGTCACAGAGTATGATGGAATTGAGCTTAGAGGAGCACAGTTTCTCTACTTTGATTAATATTCATTTCGGCTTAAAAATATTATGTATTATGTTTATACGTTGCTTATTACTTGACTAGAGGATTGCTTTCCTAATCTATCATGTTAATGTTTGCTAATAATATAAATATTTTAAAATATATTTTTTGTTATTATTTTATTAAAAAAATTAAAATACTTGTTTTTAGTATTATTTTTTTAAAATTATTTTGATATTTAATTTTTTGGTTAAAAAAATTGTTTTAAAAAGTGTTTTGTTATTATTTTTAATAATAGTAGGCTTTTAGATACATTACTCTAGTAAAATATAATAATTTGAAACAAAATTAAACAATTCAAAAACTAAAAGTAAGAATATACTTAATTAAATGATTTTAGTTGTATTATTAAAAATCTAAACATGTCAATATCCATTTTGACATTTGAATTTAGTTTTCTCATACACTTAACCAAAAAGTATTAACGTGAGAAAAATTTTGAATAAAGGTAAAAATTTATGAGATCTAATCCAGTGAAATTTTTCCCTAAACCGATAAAGTAAATAACAACATGACTATTTAACTATATTAACAAAAAAATATTCATGTCACGCCCACGTAACAAGATCTCAAAATTTGGATTAATAATATATATCTATATTATATATATTATGAATAGAAAATTATATAATTAAAAATTCAAAAGAAAAAATTTCATTTATTAAATAACAAATTATTTGTAATTAATATAATAATATTAAATAATATAGTTAAATATTATTTACGTGAGGTTGAATATGGTATAAAAATAAAAATAAAATAAAACAACAAATAAAATCACATGCAAGAGCAAAGAAGTTAAAAGGTTCAAATGACAAATGATGCATTGCGTGAAAAACTAAGAAAACTGTGTTGAACGAGGTATTGGGTTAAGAAGGTAATACGTGTCTCTACCACACAGTTCGGGCAACATGCATGGTGCCACTTTGCACAATTAATCGGGTACCTTCTGAAAGTTTATAAAATTTCATAATTAAAAAAAATAAAGGGCAGAATATTGTTTTATAGTATAAATTTAAAAAAATTTATATTTAATATAAGCTTTTTATTTAACTTAAATTTAATAATTAATTAAGTAATAAATTAATTTAAGCTTTTTATTTAATTTAAATTTAATAATTAGTTGAGTAATAAATTATAATTTGTTAAATTCAAATTAAATAAAAAGTTCAAATTAAATATAAAATTTTTATATTTACACTGATATAAAAAAATTCTATTTTTTTAAATATTATATATATATATAAGTGTAATAAATTGAATATGTTTAAAAAATTAAATTAAGGCCAATGAATTTTTGTGCAATGTATGTGCACCGAATAAATAAATATTAGAGTATTAAATTACAATACATTTTAAATACAAAATAAAAAAAATTATATAATTATTTTGAAATTTCATAAATTTTATTAAAATTAAAAATTATTATTAATAATTATTTTATTATATTAAGTAAGATTAAATTTAAAATGAATTATAAATAAATTAAATGATATAATATTTCAAATTTTATTTTATTTTAAATTGCCATTTTTTTTTCAGTTGAGACGTGACCAGTTTTACAGTTCAAATTATGGTTTTCATGGGAACAATATTTTATTGTTCTAATAAAGAAAAAATGTATTATAAAATAAATTTGAACGCTTACAGTTCCCCTCTCCCTGTTTAACTGACTCAGCTAATTGAAGGTAACAATTAGATGGAGACAGTTTTTTGGTTTGATTTTGTTGATACTCTTCCAAGTTATATTTTATTTTGTTCGATTATGGGCCTTAGCCTTGTTTGGTTTTTGTTGGGCCTTACTTAGTGCCTTTTCTGCTTGTACCAAATTCAACAAAAGAAATATTTGAAAAATGTATATATATATATAGGCAATGTATTTGCATGCATGAACAGGGCCAATTTTTGCTCTCAAGGAATCTCTTAACCATGCAGCTCATGTCGAGTCAACCTGAAGCTGTTATCGAGACCAGGAAATGTCACATAAAAGTCCCATTGAAGTGCAGTTGAGTTAGTGAAGATGAGAAAAAGAAGAACAAGAAAAGACAAATAAGGATAAAGATGAATAAAGAGACTGAGAAAAGAGAGAGAAGTTATAAATTTAAAAAAAAATTAAAAGGAAGTATGGAAGTTTATTTTGTAAAAAAAAAAATGATTTAAAATTAAAATAGTTTGTAATATAACAATAAATTTGCATAAACATATTTTAAAATTAATGCATAATTACAATGTAAATAATTATTGTAATTTTTATATTGTAGTTTTAATATTATTTTTTAATTAAAGTAAGTTATTGTAATTGTAAAAACATTAGTAACTTTGTATATTGTACTTTAATTTTATTCTGTAATAGTTGTAACATTTATTTATAAATTAACATTATAATTAAGTAATAAATTTTTTTTTGAATTTTTTAAATTTTTTAAATAAATATTAACAATTGTATTAAATGTGTATCATGTAATAAATATAACATTTAGCAATAATTGAGATTATAATAAAAAAAAATTAAAATGTTGATTATTAAACATGTATTAGGTACCGCTGACATAAATTGTTAAATATTTTTTTAGTTAATAAATAAAAGTTAAATGTATTTATTGGTTAAATTATTAAATTAAATTTAAAATTAATTTAGAGTAATTATAATTCTGCATTATTATAGTAATTATTAAAATACATGATTTTATAGCAATTATTAATTTAAGTATTATAGTAATTACTAAAATAATTGAAAATATAGAATTATTTATTTATTACTTTGTTAATATTATGATTAAGTTACAAATAGATTTATTGAATTTTTTAATTATTCTTTTTAAATTTAATATTAGGAATTGTTTAAATAATTATTACCTGATAAATATAACCTTTATTTAAAAATTTATAGATTATAATATAAAAAATAAAATCTAGAGTTGCAATTTTTAGAGAATAAACAAAAATATCCAATAAAATTCATAAATGGTAACTTTTTATTGATATAAATATTTTTTGCAGATTTAAAAATGATAATGATAATTTTTGAAACGTAATTACATAGTAAATAATGTTATTTGAGCATGTTTTAAATTTTATATTTTTGTAATTCACCCAAAAATACTATTTTTTATAATTATATAAAAAATTTATCATATAAAAAAATTCTTTTTAATGTAAATAAAATTACTTCCAAGAAAAAAAAACTTTGATAAAAATAAGACAAAAAGAAGTCGTAAAGTACAACATTTTGACTAAATTAAAATTATATGTGACTGATTAAATTTAAAGAAAATAGAAAGTAGATGAGATGGGATAGAAAATAAACACTAGATGATTTATATAAAAACTTTGTAAGACTTTTATATTAGTTTATCAATTCTTAAAAATTAGAGGACTAAACAATAATTATTTAACCTACAGCTAAGTCTATAATATTCAAAATTTTACTAAAAGTAAATAATAAATTAAATTGACTAGTAATAAATTTTATTTAACATATCTTTCCTTAAATTTGATTGTGATATAGTCAGTTAAGAATTTTGTAAACTCTTAATAGTTTCCTCAATCTCATGAATGTAGCTAACTTGAATGCTTTAGTCATTATGTATACTATTTGATTAAATGAATCACAATATTCTAGCATCATCTTGTCATCATTGTTGAGGTTATGTAAGAAATAGAACTAAATTTCGATATGCTTACTCTATCCATGAAAGATTAGATATTTTGAAAGTTTGATAGTAGAGTTGTTGTCACAAAAGATTATAACACTTCTACCTTGAGTTTGAATAAACTTGTCAAAAAATTATAACACTTATAACATAGAAGAGTACAATTTTCCATTTTGAACCTCTCAAGTACTTCTCTAGCAAACTTCATTTGAGAAATGTAAATTCCTTCACTGCATTACAAAATTTCTACTCCAAAAAAATACCTTAATTTTTATATACCACTCATATCAAACTTATATTTTATTGAGTCCTTAAAATGAACCATCATCTTCTAATAGTTTCTAATAAAAATAAGATCATTCACATATAAACTAATACGTCTCCTTTTTTAGTTTTGAGGAATAGAGCATGTTGAAGGTCACACTTCTCAAAACTCTCCTTAAGAAAATAACTTTATATTTTCTTAAGTTTATAAACTTTCTTGTCCTCCCCTAACTTTACAAGACCTGATGGCTGCTCTACATACATAGTTTCACTTAACTCCCCATGCAAGAACACACTTTTCACGTCAAGCTGGTATATGTGCCAATTCTTTTGAGTTACAATACTATGATGCTTTGAATTGTATCGCATCTTACCATGGGTGCATAAACTTCACTATAATCAATACCAAACTGCTGCTTATACCATTTGGCTACCAATCAAGCTTTTCACTTGTACATCTCACCTTTCTCATTCAATTTTGATTTGAAAACCCATTTGACCTTGATCTTCTTCACTCTTGTAGGTAGACTTGTGAGCTTCCATGTTTAATTTCTTTCTATTGCATCAATCTCGACCTTCATTGCACTCCTTCATCTCAAATGTTGCATAATTCATAAAAATTAATGAGATCTTCATTATTCATAAACATTTCCATTTTTCTTATTTCATCTTATGATTCTGAAAGACCTTCTCTACTCACGTAATCTCTACTCTGCATCCAAACAATAGGCAATTTGTTTCATTCTCCATCCAGAATAAGCTCTCACTCTTCAACTCGAGTAACTGAGCTTGTACTACTTGAGCATGAATTTGAACCTGCAGCTGGTTCGTCTCTTTCTCAAGTATCACTTTATCCTCTTCTAATGTAACTTAATCTTGTTCTTTCCCTTATTCATCTTCCTAAACAAGAATGTCAAAGTTTAACATCTTTAGCACTCCTTTCCTAATTCTAACTTACTTCTTCTTCAAAATTACGTTTCTGTTAATAACAATTTTTTTTATGATGGAATTATACATATGA